CTAAGCCGAGAGGACACTAAGCAACTGACGAAGATGTCAAGGCTAAAACACGCGTGTATTGCACTGTATAAGTACCCAAGATAGACCACATGCATGGCTCAAAAAATAATTATCAGGCATATTGAATTTCGACCGTGGTTTCGAGAAACACTCGAAACGAACGGTATAACATTGAATCAGCAGGAGCGGAAGCAGTTTTAGAAGCTCCAGACAGCTAAGGTGTCGCCATCAGTAAATAAAGATCTTCCCATAACCTTCAAGATGCAGATGATATCGTTAGCATAACACTAAGTAACAGTAAAGCGGAACAAATGGTGCGACTACTTTGACAAGCCTTGTGACGGGAATGGTCTTCCATTAAATTTTTACAGAAACCAATGATGAACAGACTTCAGAATCATCCATGCTCGATGAAATGCTTCATGCTAGTCTCAGCTTTGGCGCAGACGTGTCTAAGATTCAACATTTGAACCACTTAGCTCAAAAATAAAGCAGTAGGAAATGATCGACTTGGGAAACTTTTGAAAATATCGAGGAGAAACAATTAACTCCGTGCATTGATATAAGATAACGCTATAAAATCCTAGCTGAGGGATATGGTGGAAAGATCCCGCATAATGCTATACGAAAGGGAAATGTGAAACTCCCAGCTTAAATCAAAAACTGAAAATCAGAGTCACCATTTTAAATACGAAAACCTCGAAAATAATATGGGAATGATAGGTGATGCGTCTAATGAGAAACAGAGGATAGAAGAACAAACCCCCTTTAAATCAACGAACTATTGTGATCACATGACGAAGATCACCTGACCGGATTATCTGAATTCCTCAATAAGTTCATAGAAGAGAGATATAGTCTAAAGCGTTTTCCTATAGCGAGCAAAACTCAGTGGGCTATGCTTGCAGGAGAACAATGGGAAACTTTCATGGCACCCGCGTCAAACATGTGGTCGTCAAGAAGAAAACTGTCATGAGAATTGTAACTGCCAAGTCAGTGGAATACCTCGTTTCTGGATCGGTGGTTGTTCAGCTTCATCTTCACTATCAGATTCCTCCATGTCCATTTCCATTGCTTCAGGCGGCTTGCTTCTGAGCATCACTCCTCGCTTCAAGTAGAATACGAGCACCAACATCTTTCGGAGTACATAGGCCAGGTAAGTTAGCTGCAAATATTCTACTATACCTTATTTCCCTTGAAAGAACTCAATAGAATGATTGAAAACGGTGACTTCCTGCTAAAAAAGCTGCTAATCAGCACTTAAGCACATTTTCTAGAATGTACAATGAGTCATTCACCGCAATCATGGCATATAACCTTATCAAAGTAAGGAGAAAAAATTCTGCAATGTAAAACGTACTGGTATCTCCAGGTTGGAAATCAACGGTCTGCACGACAAACAAAATCGTGCCAATCGATTGATGCATATGCCACTTCGTTCCTGATAACATATTAGAAAGTTTGAAAATGACAAAATTTCCAACTGGAATAAAAAACCTCATGTAGAATATCTAGTGGCAACTGCTCGAATATTGCGGAAGGATATGATTCTAAGCAAATTCCGAACATCCTAGGGCTCAAGTTATCAGAATGATGAACAACCACGTGACTTACACTTATTGTTCGATAAGTTTGGAAGAAGACACGCTAAGATAACAGGACTACAAACCTATGCCTACCTGTTATACTACATTATGATACATTACTCATTATGTGTACTACTATATCAAAGCAGTTTACTAATTCCCAGAAAGTATCAATCACCTTCTCAGCTTCTTTCTCCTCCTTTGTCCCTCAGATTTTTCTGATGCTTTTCCCATGCAACTCTGTAATTCACATCCTCCATCAGTTTTTCTTGTGTTATTTTTTCTCAGCACGGAGATCCTCTAGTATTGTGTGTTGTGGGGAATTATTACCTGAAAATCAGAACTATAACAGCATCTCTCAGACGATCTTCAACAAAATGAGCATACAACAATGACAAGGTGATATCTATACACAGACCTTTGTGTACTGCTCTACCAGCTTGGTGAAATATGTGAAATTAGAATGTTGAGGTTTCAAGAAATCGAACTGGAAATTGCGTGCTTCTCTAGTCATTAGCTGAGTGAGGAATTGACGGCCATTCCTAGCGACAAATAATGCCGTCATGCGAATTAAATCACTGAAAACACCTATGCATACGTGTGACTTGGCATTTAAACCCTGCTCAAAAGAATAGTTAAAAAGTAAATAAGTCTATAAAAAGAGTAATTTAACCCCTACAGATCATAAGCGTTGATTGTAGCTGGATCTGCACAGAATTCGAACGCTGGAGGTGGTTTTCGTTGGGACAAAGTCTGCTTTCTTAACAGCGTCTTTCACTGCTTCAGGTAGCTGAGGTTTTGGCGCTGCAAGGGAGGTCTCCACTTTTCCCTCTTGGAAATCACGAACCTGAACGATTCAGTAGAGTTTAAGTCGACACACACAACTAAAACGCCCAGAGGCTAATAGTACGCAGATGACGAAAAAAGGATAGAAAAAGGAATAAACTTTCGGCAATGATGAATCCCTGAGGAAATGCGCCATGCGTCGCCTTCGATCTATAGCTTCGAGTTCAGTAAATAACATATATGGCCTTTACAATGACTTTTCGGTGGCTACTGATGTGCCAAATCATTACACCTATTCTCTCAGACAAGTCTGGTAGCAAATCACCGATTCCTCAGGGAAGGAGGGCTTGGTGAGCCTCGAGCGCGATATTGAACAACCAACCATACGTTGATCAATCCTGTGTGTAACAGATCACCTCTATCCACTGCGCCATGCGTGTCAACGGAAGAAAGAGGGACGAAGTAAAGGTCGTGGGCGAATAGAAAATTTCAACATACCTTCTGCTTATAGTAGGCATTATAGGGATCAGTAGGGACTGAGGAAGTTGAATCGTTTGTTGTTGACCTCTTTTTCACGAATTTTATTCTCAAAATCGACACCATTACGTGCCACGAAACGCCGCAGTTTTGTCAACGATGGCTGGAAAATGAAGTTTTTATTTTTGAACAAAAAAGATCCTTGGGTAATTATGAAAGGGAATAATTGTGAACTTCTAATCAGACTATAAAAGGATGATTAAACGATAGCGTACTTCGAATATCTGGCGGCGGATAGATAAGACCAATGATAGTCCTTCCACTCAGCGAAGGCTCCGTATTCATTGAATCTTCTTCGCGATGCGATACCACTGGAAACGGCGGTGGGCGCCATTATCCCTGTAGAAAAACCTGTGTAGCAAAATTTAAAATACCAAGGAATCTTTTGGCCCTCTCAAAAGCGTACACGAAACAAGTTTGAGAAATAATACGAATACATGCAAATAAAGACACTGCATTACAATCCACTAGGTTGTACCAAAAGTTTTGGCCCTGGAGCAATAAAACCAAGTTTACTGAGCGGAAGTGATTAAAATTGCCTGATTTTGGTATCGCTAAACTATTCGGGTTCCTTGCGAACATTTTGGTAGAGAGCTTGACTTTAGTTGGCTTAAGATGGAGCTGTCATGGGAAACAAATCCACTTGCTACTCCTGCACGAACGGCGCAGAGGGGAATATGCTAGTGAAGCGGTCGCGGATTAACGGAGCTTCTGTGGGTGCCCGAGCGCGCTCGACCTCCTAGAGTGTTCTCTCCAGCTTTGAACTCCGCTAGCCACTTCCTAGCCGTCCTTTCTGCATCCGTATAATCGCTCTAAGCTCCATTGATATGGTGCGCCGCTTCACTGGCATTTTCGCCTACGCGCCATTCGTGTATAAACAGCAAGCGAAATTGTTTACCAAGACAGCTCCATCTTGAATCAAGTGTAGTCAAGATTTATACCAAGATGTTCGAAAGAAAATGCGCAATTGAACGAAACTAAAACCATAACAATTTTATATAATCTAACTGGTTGCCAATTTGATGTTTCGTTTCCGAGTGTTTTCTTCAAGACCACAGCTCAAATTTCAATATGCCTGGCAATCATTTTTTGAGCCACGCATGTCAGTGGTCTATCAGAGAGGGCTGACTTTATAGAGCCCGATACACGTGTTTCGATCTTGCGATCTCGCCAGTCGGGCAATCACCTTTTCTCGTCTTTTGTCAATCCTGTGTGAGTGCTCCAGTCCCCACACTAAAGCGTTAGCGACGACGAACGCTTTACACTCTATGTCCTCGTGAATTATCACCGTATACAACAGTCAGTTGTACACTGTGATTGTTGCTTGCGCTAATGCATTCAAAATATCATATCTATATGAAAGATCGAGTGTTACAACACTCTAGTGTTTGTGGTGATAATTTCACTGGACATAGGGTGTAAAGGACGTTCGTCGTCGCTAACTCTTAGTGTGAGGACTGGAGCACCCACAAAAATTAGCAAAAGACGAGAAAGGGTAACTGTAACTGCCCGACTGACGAGATCGCAAGATCGAAACACGTGTATCGGGCTCTATAAGTCAGCCCTCATTGACAGACCACTGATATGCGTGGCTCAAAAATAATTGCCAGGCATTTGATATTTATGCTATAGTGGCCAAAACTTATTGAGCGAATTAATAAAACCATCAGAAAATCATAAGACGACCGCTTTAGTTTTCGTTTTCAATTTAATCAACCAAATTATTCTCAGAAAGTGTGTAATAGAGGGAAGCTAGGAAAAAACACAAGTAGTTCAGACAACTACTCAGTACATACAATTTCTCAATGTCCATGAGATATAAAACGATGACGATTCTAGCCGAGTGGTTAGCGGTGGGTGTATCGAGAAGAAGACGCGATTAGTAACTGGTTTGATCGCCTCCACCATCACTCTTTTGCAATGGCCAGACAATGGACGCCCACAGCAGGGCTCCCTCCAGGACCGCATGGAGAGCGTCTCGGCCAGTGTTCTCGACGATATTCCAGAGGAAGATAGAAAGAGACGAAATCCTCAAGCAGAACTTGAAACAGCGCTTGAAGTGTTCGGAGAAAGAGTGGTCGCAAAGCGGTGGCCTTGGTGGTGTAGTGGTACCTTCCCCTCCTGGGTAAGGAGGAAACGCGGGTTCAATCCCGCCCGGGGTAAGACTTTCGCGCTTGAATTCTCGTGAAAAATCGTACACACAAAAAAATAAACAATTAAAAATAAAATAAGTATAAGAAAACAGCCCGAAATAAATACGCCCCGCTCAGCGCAGAGGCGAGAGAGGCAAAGCTCAAAGTGACGTCAGTTATAAAGCTTGTTCTGTAATTACAGACCGCAGGCGCTATCGTATTTCCGAAATTGGATGAGGTAGTGACTTCGGCCTCCGACGGAGCCATTCATAGCTCGAGTTCTCTTCACGACACGAGGGACGCGTGTGGCGCAGTGGTTAGAGGTGCCGTGCGGTACACACTTGGTCGATGATTCTATGACGTGCCCCACCTTTGGTCACGAGTAACACGAGGTTCCATATTTGCTGGCAAGGGGACTCAAGAACTCCAGGAATTATCAGTCTCATACTGGTTACCAGGGTTAATCAGTACGCTTTACACGGAGAGCCGGGGTTCCCTGCCCATCAAGAGTCGTCGGCCTTTTATTCTGCTGTGGGTCATGGAGGTTTCGTCTGAATGGCTTACGGCTCTCCATTAGACCTTTCCCATGCTCTGACGAAGGCGAAATTTTGGTAACCTCGTGTTCGTTAAAGCCCAGAAAAACTTTGCAAATTCCTTGATCTCTGGGGGTTTCTTTGTTTTACCGCTTTTGTTGCAGGGTTATGACGTTATTACTACTAGTAGCGTTGATATGTGAAGCTTAGGACCTCAGTGGGGAGTCGACCCCGCTTCACTCCTTCCGGGGGGCGCGTACTGACCACAGCGCCATCGGAGGCATCCCTAACTCTGCCACCCAACTCCATCTGTTCTATTGCGACTGAAGCGAGCCGAGGAGCTCCATTCTAATGATCAGTGACCCTTGGAGGGACGGGAACGAGCTAGGAATGGGGAGGGCATGAAGTCCAGGGATCTGAGTTTTTCTTGTTCCTCCTTTTTTTCTTTTCTCTCCATTTTTTCTCTCTTTTTTCTTTCTTTTTTCCTTTCTGCTTCAGATGCTCACTTGTCGAATCTCGTCAAACATCATGTTACGGCATCGAATAAGCGGCAGTGTGAAGAGGTTACAGCGATTCGATCTGGTCAAGTTCTCGACGACGACTAGTCGGTCATCGCAAGAGAAGTGAGTGGGCACGTACGGCTCGGCTACTAATCTATTGAATTCCTGGTTCATTTCTGTTATCCGGAAGCAAATGAAGGAACGACTCCTTCCGCTGTGGAGAGGTTTTCCGTCGTACTTTCAGTAATCATTCGAAAGCTTAATCTCTGGTCAGCGCCCTACGTGGCCGTTTTTTTGTAAGAAGTTTGTTCTAACGCTGTAGCAGAGTGGAAACATTTGTGCTTCACACACGCGTATTTCTCGCAAGGACACAGCTATTCCCTGGAAATGTGAGTGACTATTCGATAGCCCAAGTTTCGACGAATCCAACACCGTGCTTACTTCCGGGAAAGACCGGCTTAGGTGCAATACAGCAGGGAGAACAGGATTGAGTTTCATATGCGTACAGCGCATGTGGCGTAGTGGTTAGAGGTGCCCTGTGTCGCACACGAGGTCAATGGTTCGATCTCGCGCTCATGCTTCACCCAAGCCATCCATCCCTCCGTGGTCGGTAAATTGGTACCAGACTGGTCTCAGACTTGTCTGGGAGGATAAGCAGCACTGACTCGGTTCAGCGGGAGGCCACTGCGAGCATTGTAAAGGCCGGATGTGCATTCAATCACCTCAAACGAAGTTAGAAATTGAAGATCGAATGCATGGCGCATCCCTCAGGGATTGATCAACGTTGAGAGCTTTATCCTTTATCCTTTATGCGCCGCGCATTTGCTTGTCGGCTAGTGTGCGTATCGGAGGAAGCTGGTCGCGGATCCCCTACGGGGATCGATCCATCACGTTGGCTTGACCGACGTGTAAAGCGCAGGTGTTTGTTATTTCACTATATTTTTCTCCGCTTCGGAAAAAACTCCCGTGAAACGTATGACTCTGCGCTGCAAGATTTCCCCTACGCGATCATAAAAGATAAAGGATAAAGCTCTCGGCGTGGATCAATCCTGAGGGATGCGCCATGCATTCGTCTTCAATTTGTGACTTCATTTGAGGTGATTGAATGCATATCTGGCCTTTACAATGACTCGCGGTGGCCTCCCGCTGAACGAGTCAGTGCTGCTTATCCTCCCAGACAAGTCTGAGACCTGTCTGGTACCAATTCAACGAACCCGGAGGGATGGATGGCTTGGTGAGCCATGAGCATGAGATCGAGTCGTCGACCCCGTGTGCGACGTGGGCAGAACACCTCTCACCACTGCGCCACATGCGCCCTTTGCTATCGTATGCTTTCCGAATTTTTATTTAAATGTTGCGATAGAAAAGTGTTTTTTCAAAAGAGGAGTAGGTAACGCAATAGCCAGAGATTCAAGCTTTCGAATGATTACCAACTTTTATGAATAGAACTAATCGTTTCTTCTCTTTTGTTTCCGAATAAAGAAAATACCCGAATTTATTTTTTACTGCTTTCTAGTAAAGTTATGCTGTTATAGATATACCCTAGGAGTATCAAATGGTATGCGAAATATCAGATCTCAGGCGGGAGTTGAATCCGCGTTTCTTTCGTAGCGCGACTCCTGCCACTGCGCCAGCAAGGCCATTACTTCGATATTACGATGGATGGGATATGTCGAAGAGAGGTAGTAAAGCGAAGGTTTTGGTGATGTAGGGATAGCGCCCGCCTCTGGTTGGATGAAGCGCGGGTTCAGCTCCCGCTTGAGGTCAAATGTTTTGCATATTACTTTATCGACACTTGGATATTTGAACGGGTTGGTTTTGCGAATTGTGTGGATTGTTCCCTGGAGTCCCGAGGCAAGCCTGGTCGGGGCCAGGATGTTACCACAGTAGAGCAATCGCCGTCCCTTGTGGAACAGAGGGAGATTGCCACCTCGCGACTAGTCCCAACCAAAACGGTGGTCTTTCGTGGTACGGGTCACTTTTAGATGGGCTTTCCAAGTGAAACTTCAGACTTTTTCCCAGCTTGGGTGGCCCTGCTCGGGAGGTGAATCCTCGCTGTATTTCGCAGTCCGGCACCCGGGAATGTCTTCCAGCCACGATGAAACGTAAACCATTCAATATACTACTTGATACTCTAGCTAATGATTAATAATTTTGTCATGTTTATTTTACGATTTTATCAGTATTTTCCAGTAAAAAGAGTGAGGATGAAGATTTTGAAAAGGAGGTGAGGAAACTGACCGAAGTTATTGCAAAGGATCTCGAGTCAAATGTGAACTCAGATAAAGAAGAAATCGACAAAAACTTTATGAATTTCAAGGCTCAGGCGGAGGTAAATGCCTTTTTTTCATCGGATTTGAGGTCCTTCTTCTTTTAACCCTAATGAGACCATGGACCCAAGTCTCTGCGTGTCTAGTCCCAGCCTGTTGCGTCTAACAATAGTGCTAACCTCCAGCATGCCGTTGTTAGACACACACACACTGCTAAACGTGATGTGCTGGAAGTTAGACACGCAGAAGGTTGGGTCCGTGGTCCCGCAAGGGCTAATAACTTCTACTATCGATCATTATTACTAGCTATCGTTCTTCCGACTCTTATCTAACATAATATATGAGAATTCTTCGTTTTCTTGATTTTCAGCGGTGTTTTGACGTTGTAATCCTAGATCTGATGCTGCGTGATATGTAGAGTTCGGCCCCATGTAAGAGTTAACCCGCGTCTGACCCTTACGGGGGGTTCGTTTTAACCACTGCACTACCGGGGCTTCTGTTGTACTGTCACTCTTTGTTGCAGCATAAGGCATCGAAGCTGTCAGCAACTAACTGTCAGCCGGTATGGTCTCTCAAACACATATCGACACTGAACCCGGTAAAATTCGTGGCCTCGGTGGTGTAGTGGTAGCATGCGCTTCTGCTATAGGCGAAACGCGAGTTCAATTCCTACCTGGTGTTGAAAGCTTTTGCTATCACTCGGCATCTTTGGATAGTCTAGGCTATATTTGACAGATAAGAAAGAGGTATGAAGCTCCTTTCATCCGCCAAAAAAGTCGTTATTGAAGTTTTTCTCGTAATTATTTATCTGATCTATTTCTTCCTTCCTTATATCAATAATTGTAGAGAGAAGCTCATAAGCGAAGTGGCACGATATTCAGTTGGAAAGTCGCTGGTATAACGTTGGGAATCGGTGCTACCTGCCTCGCTGCGCTGTTGTATATCCGGAAAATTGTAAGTTCATAGCTAATATTTGGAATATTTGGCCTTTTTCGTATAAATATACGTTGAAATCGTTGTTATAGAGGTTAGAGGAACGAGAGAAACACATGAAGTATATGGCAGGAAAAGCTCGAATCGGAGGCGACTGGGAACTCGTCAACACAGAGGGTCTTCTTTTAATCAAATGATTTCGTTTATTGATGTGTTCACATATTTTATATGGTATTTTTTCTATTTAATTGTTGCTCAAGCCCTATTAGTTTGCCTGTTTGTAGGTAAATTGGAAGGATCCGAGCAACTGAAAGGTAACTGGCTTCTTCTCTATTTCGGATTCACTCATTGTCCGGATATCTGCCCAGATGAAATCGAGAAAATGGTCAAGGTCAGTGAATTCTGTATCTGTTGAGTTCGAGTTTGAGTTCTTTACGTAAATTCTTTCAATTCATGTTAAGGTCGTTGACATCCTCGATTCTAAACCCACCAACGAGAAAATACCGATAAAGCCCATCTTCATATCGGTTGATCCGAAACGCGATACACCCGCTCGAGTAAAGCAATATTGCGCCGAGTTTTCACCGAAAATTCAGGGCTATACGGGATCAGAAGAACAGGTTTCCTAGACTCTTTGGTTTTTTTTTCATTTTTTGAGGCTCTTCTCTTTATAGTTTCCTTTATGCTTCAGCTGATGCCACGAGGTTGAGAAATAACATCTGTTCGGCCAACGTCTCGACGTCGTCGTCCTCTTCACAACCGACGATTCGAGTCGATTGCCCGCAGTCGTTCAG